AAAAAAAAAAAAAAAAAGGAATGTCACTTTTTTTGTGTGTATGGGTCGTGGGGCTTGAACTCTGGGCCTGGGCGCTGTCCCTGAGCTGCTTTTGCTCAAGGCTAGTGCTCTACCACTTGAGCCACAGTGCCACTTCCGGTTTTCTGGTCATTAATTAGAGATAAGAGTCTCACACTTTCTCACTCAGGCTGGCTTTGAACATTGATCCTCAGATCTCAGCCTCCAGTGTAACTAGGATTTACAGGTGAGAGCCTTCAGCGCTAGCTACATTCTCATTTTTACACCTGTAATCTTAGCTACTCAGGTGGTTGAGACCTGAGGATTGAGATTCAAAGCCTGTAGGCAGGAAAGCCCTTGAGTCTCTTATCTTCAATTAACTACCAAAAAAGACTTGAGTAGCTAGAGGCTCAAGTGATAGAGTGCTAGCCTGGAGCAAAAGCAGCTCAGGGATAGCCCTCAGGGCCCAGAGTTCAGCACAAAAACAGGAAAAGAAAAAAATCAAAACAAAAACAAAACAGGATCTTCTACAAAACAAAAGAAAAAAATGAAACTAGTCGAGTGCCAGTGGCTCACGCCTGTAATAATCTAGCTTCTCAGGAGGCTGAGATCTGAGGATCATGGTTCAAAGCCAGCCCGGGCTGGAAAGTCTATGAAACTCTTATTTCCAATAAACTACTAGAATACTGGAAGTGGCGCTAAGGTTCAAGAGGTAGAGCACTTGCCTTGAGCTGAAGAGCACGGGGACAGCGCCCAAGCCCAGAGTTCAAGCCCAAGACTGACAAAAAAAAAAGAAAGAAAAAATGAAGCAGATGTATTCCAGACTCAGCTTTGTCTTTACGCCAGGCTTGGTTTGACCACTGGGTGTTCTGCTTAGCTTAGCCTATCATGCCCCAGCTACTCATCATGACCCAGAGCAAAGCCCAACAGTTACTCCAGCCCCTGAGAGCCTGCACAGACCCCATCTTGCTCTGGGTCACCATATCTTGTGTGAGGCAGAGTAAACAGCTTTGGCTCTATATAACAATAAGCCATCAACAACATGTCACTGAATACACACTGCTGTATTTTACTACCTCTTTACATGGAATGCTGAAATTTGAATTTCTTACCATTCTCACCTGTTTTAAAACACTGTTCCCTAGGATTTTATCAACCACTTAAAAATGTAAAAATAGCCCAGTATCCAAGGCTCATACCAGTAATCTTATCTGATGGGATGGATCTCTGTTGTCCTAGGACCCAACTGATGCTTCCTGTTGTCAGTGAAGGACCTGAGTGTTCCTGTCATTGTTCAGGAGGCTGAGATCTGAGGATCCCATCCCAGTTCAAAGCTAGCCTGGGCACAAAAGTGAGATATCTCATTTCCAATTAACCAGCAAAAAGCCAGACGTGGAGGTGTGGCTCAAGTAACAGCCATGAGTGGGAAAAAGCCAAGTAAGAACATAAGACCCTGAGTTCAAACCTCAGTAGTAGCAACAATACTAATGAAGTAAAAACCATTCTCGAAGCCATAGGAGTTGATGGACACCTGTAGAAGCCGAGGGATCACTTGATCACCAGTTGGGGGCTAGCTTGGGCCCCACAGCAAGACTCTTCTCAACAGATAGAACAAGGGCTGAAGATTTAGCCCAGCAGTAGGGAGGGCTTGATGCTCTGGGTTCAATTCTTAGTACCACAAAACAACCACCATCATCGCCAAAAAAACATTTGTAACTCAGAAGCTAGGCAAAAATACAAGCCCAGCTGGGCCCAGGGGCTTAGCCTATAAACCGAGCTAGTAGAGAGGCAGAGATTGAGAACAGCCCAGGCATAAACGTTGGAGACTGTTTCAACTAATAGCCAGGCACTGTGGTAGGTGCCTGTTAATCCAGCTACAGAAGCACAGTGGCAAGCACAGCGGTACCTGTTCACTATCCCGTTACACAGGAGTGCCTCAGTAGGCAGACTGCAGCCCAGCTCTACCCGGAAAATAACCAAGGCAAAAAGGAGTGAAGGCCTCAATCAAGTGGTAGAGTGCCTGCCTAGCATAAGGCCCTGAGTTCAAGACTTAGTAGTACCAAATAAATAAGCTCATTAAGCCCTCAGGTTAGCACCGTGAGTCAGGACCAGTTCTATTCCCATTTTAGGTAGGGCACATGAAGGGCCGAACTGTACTTGAATCCTGAAGCCTGCATCCTTCTTCCTTTCTCCAGGGTCCACAGCACCAGGCCACAGTCCCATGCCCCTGGCTATGTACCGGCCCACAGCTCTGCAGGCCTCTGGTACTTGTGGGTCTTATGGGAAGTCATTTACTTTTGGAATTTTTCATGGTGGGGAGGGGTAACGGGTGAGACACAGTCTCCCTGTGTAGCTCAGCTGCACGGAAGGAACTAACAATCCCCCCAGCAGGTGAAGCTCCAAGTTTGAGCCCTAGTACCGCCAAAAGAGAGAGACCTTCCTCCAGGCTATCCTCAAAGATAACTGGCTGGCCAGATGTACTTTGCTCTAGGCAGCAAAGGCCATCATCCCTCCAATCTCCTCCAATCTCCCTAAATCTGTTTTTCCGGCCTTGTCACCCCCTGCAGCTCCCCTCAGGCTCCTCCACCCCGGGTCACCCTCCCCTTCCTAGATTTTGTCATTCCTCACCCCACTTCAATCTCAGTTTTTAGGACCTGAGTGGCTCTCCTGACTCATCAACTCTCTTTTCCCCTCTCCAAGACTATCATCCCATAGGCACAGAACAACAATTTCATGCCAAGCCAGGAGCTGGTGGATTATGACCTTGATCCTAGATTTTAGGATAGTTCAGTACAGACACAAAGAAAAAATATGTGTGTGTGTGTGTGTGTGTGTGTGTGTGTGTGTAGCCATATACCAGTGTCTCACGCCTGTAACCCTAGCTACTGAGGAGGTTGAGAGCTGAGAATCACAGTATGAATCCAGCCTGGGCAGTAAAGTTCCTGAGACTTCATGGTAATCACCAAAAAAAAGTCAGAAGTGGAGTGCTAGCCTTGAGTGAAAAAAGTTCAGGGACAGCACCCAGGCCCTGCACGCACTCGCGCACTCATGCACACACACACACACACACACACACACACACACACACATTCCATCCCAGCTCCCATTGGCTGGTGTGATCACTCTCTTGGTCCCCAACTCCTGGGACAGTGTGATTACCAGAAGGCTGGGCCACCTTAATATTCCATATCCACCATTCCTTCCTGACACATACCCTCCAGTCCGTGCCCCTTGGCAGGTCTGGGCTGAGACAAACCAAACACATCTTGGCCTCTTGTAAATCCCAACACTGGGCTCCCAATTTCCCCCAACTCATCCATAGTCCAACTCTGTTCAGGGACATTTTATCTTTCAGGTTGCCCAGGCCAAATTCTTAGGGAGCAAATTCCTGAAGTGTAAGCCTCAGGATGGAGGATAAGGAAGAATGGCCAGGTAGGAGTAGGGAACAGGTGGGGATTGTGAGCAGATAAACAGCAAGGAACCTAAATACCAAAAGGGTGTAAGACAAAGGAGGAGAGCCTCCTAAGCCCTCACATCTTTTTTTTTTTTTTTGGCCAGTCTTGGGGCTTGAACACAAGGCCTGGGCACTTACTGTCCCTGAGCTTCTTTTGCTCAAAGCTAGCACTCTACAACTTGAGTCACAGCGCCACTTCTGGCTTTTTCTGTTTATATGGTACTGAGGAATGGAACCCAGGGCTTCATGCAAGCACTCTACCACTAAGCCACACTCCCAGCCCACCTCACAGTCTTAAACACAGCAGGACAGTGGCAAGCCTTGGTTTTGCCTTGAAGATCTCTGTGGTTAGCAGGGTACCTGTGTCTCATATCTGAAATCTGAAGATTGAGGTTTGAAACCAGCCAGGGCAGAAAAGTCCAGGCAACTCTTATCTATCTCCAGTTAACCACCAGAGAAAGCTGGAAGTGAGCCAGGCTCTGGTAACTCATGATTATAATCTTAGCTATCCAAGAGGCTGAGATGTGAGGTTCAAGGTTCGAAGCCAGCAGAAAAAGTCTATGAGAGTCTTTATCTCTAATTGGCTATCAAATACACCTGAAGTGGAGCTCTGGCTCCAGTGGTAGAGGCTAACCTTGAGCAAAAGAAACTAGGGACAGGTCCTGAGTTCAAGCTCCAGGACCAGCACACACTCACAAACATATGCACAAACCTGGAAGTGGAGCTGTAGTTCCAGTAGTAGAGCCTTCCGCAAAAAAAGCTGAGACAGTGCCTACACCTGAGTTCAAGCGCCAGTACTGGCCCAAGTTAAAATATGTATCTGTATAGTTTATCTAGGGACCAAGGCCTGGGCCCTCCAGTGCCCAACCTTTCCCTTATTTTTCTGCTTCCCAACGTCCACACAGACCAGGAGGCTGTCACTGGAGTTACTTGCCACTCAGCTGTGCGCAGACAGCCCCATCACGGGTGGGCAGAGACAGCTGGCAATCCCAAAAAGAGCAAGTACCTTAGGCAGGGCATCAAGGGGCCGTCAGCCTCCTCTCCACAGGCTATACCAAGCAAGTGACCTTAGGCAAGTCACTTCTCCTTTTTTGGATCACTGCCTGCTTCTCGGATTTCTGTCCAGACTCTAGAATAACAATCACCTTCTCCATATTTACTATGCATGGCCTCACCAATCAAGTGCTTCCTATCTATTCCTACCAATTAACCCCACAGTCCTAGATGGTGGTGATTTGCTGAAAAGGAAACTGAGGCTCAGAGAGGCTTGGGACTTCCCAAAAGCTCTCAGTGGGAACAGGTAGGTGGTGACACAGACGGGACACTTACCTCCATGGTGGCTGCGGCTGGTTGGCAGTCCCTGCTGGGGGCTGTGGTCCCCCAGGAGGCCTGGGGCCGGGCAGAGGCTGGGGCCCAGGCCCCTGTCTGCTGAGCTGGAGTCTTCCTGCTCACTTGGCTCAAACTCTGGGATCTGGAACATGCTCTGGGCTGCGGAGAAACGATGATGGGTAGTTACAGTGCAGCTGGAACTGGGACAAATGGTGGCTGTGAACAGCAAAGGCGGAAGACAAGTGTCCCACGATCTCTCTCCCACACTAGGACCCCCAGGCCCTCACGTCCGCGCCTGCCCTCCTCTATCGGCGATCTGCATCTCCTGGCCTGGCAGGAAGCTCAAGCTAACACCAAAAATTCCCCTACAGGGCCGCCCAGGTGAGTGCGGCAGCCTCGGGCCGCTGCCTAGGCCCCGGCCCGCCCGGCCCTGCCCGCCGGTGGGGACGGCGCACAGGTCTCACCCCAAGCCCGATCTCGAGGCCCCTGACCCGGGCCCGCCACCTCCCTCCTAGTACTAAAGGCGCCCGGCCCTAGTTTCCTAGGCAACAGGAACTGTCACTGACCCAGCCCAATCAGTTCTCGTAATGAATCCCGGGTAAACCCGGAGGCGGGGCCACCGCGGCCGGGCGCCACCCCCTGCCCCCCTCCCCCCGGCACCGACCTGCCCCTCCCCAGGCTCCCAGCGCCCAGCTCCGACTGCCACTGGCCCGGAGCGCGGCGGGGAGCTGCCGGGGGCTTCTCGGAGTCCCCATTCGGGACGTGAAGGTCTGCTTCTGCTGACAAGGCCTCCCGCCTCTCCGGGCCTTAGTCCCCGCCCCTCCGCCCGTAAAATGGGGATAGCGACACCTCCTTCGGGAGGCGGTGGAAACTTTGTAAACAGCCGTGACCACAGTGGGTGAAAGCACTTTGTAAAGGTCGTGACCGAAGCTACGTCGGGGTGCAATTACTGTTGCATTTCTCACTGCGCCGCCAGCGCCGAGTGACAGGCTGGGAGGCCCCGCACCCTCCTCCCGCTCCTCCGGGGCGTGGAGACCTCGCGCTGCCCGCGCAAGGGGCACCTCCCGGGGACGCGGCAGAGCCCCGGAGATAAGACAGGAAGGCAAGATGACTGCCCGGGCGCGGGAGCCGGGACCGGGGTCCCCGTGAGGGCCAACCGTAAGGCTTGTCGCGGGGGGCTCAGCGCCCGGCAGGCGATGCACGGCCGGCCGGCCAGGTGAGCGCGAGCAGCCGCGGCCGAGGCGTGGGACGGGCGCGCCCGCCGCGGACTGGAGGGTCCTGCGGATCCAGGCCCAGGGGGCGGGGCCACGGCGCCATCTTGGTTGTGGGCGGAAGTGTCCTTCAGAGACCCAGCGAAGGGGAAGTCGTTGCCGCCCCCGGCCGGGCGAGCAGATCCCTTTTTAAGGATGAGGGGCTCTAAGCGTGGAAACTGGCAGCTCCCCGCAGACCAGCAATGGCTGGTGGTCCTGGGCACGGCCCGTCCAGGTGCCCGTTGGGTGCGGCGCCGGTGGCCTCGACGTCTCGGCCTCCGGCCATGGTAACCCCGGGCGCCCGCTAGCGGCGCTATTCGCGCCAATTCTCGAACGGCTCTACGCCGGGCGCGGCGCGGGGCTGCGAAGTTAGAACCCGCTGCTGCGTAATTTGCGTAGGTGACGGCGCCCGCGCAGGCGCAGGAGGGGGCGGAGCAGCGGGAGCTGGGGAGCTGGAGCCCGGCGTCCCGGCGACCGGAGCCCGGTTCCCCAGCGGCGGCCCGAGGACTAGACATCGGCGTCCTCCTGCCCCCCGCGGCTGAGGGTGGGCGCGGTGGGGGAAGGTCAACGTCCGGAATTCCGAGGACAGAGGAAGAGACCCCTCCCCTTTATCTGGATTTTGGAAGGGAGAGAGCCCTTAAGCTTGGGAGGGGGAGAGCGGGGCTCTGGGCGCCCCCGCCGCGGCCGCTGCCCAGCCCTGACGGGCATCGGGCCGGCTCTCCCCCTCCTGCCAGGCTAACACGAGCGACCAAGGCCAGGGAATCCTCCAGCCCCAGCATCCCCTCGGCTCCGTGGCTCTCGGACCGGCCCAGGGAGAGACACTTTCAGCCCTCACCCCATCTGCCTTGGAGAGACAAGACTGCCCTTCCACACCCCAGAGTGAGGGGCCCAGGCTGCCCGGGACCCCGCCAGACTGAGGGTCTCTGTTGAGGAGAAAGGGACCTGGCAACCATCACGTCTTCCTGAGTCTCCATCTCTGTCCACTGCAACCTGCAAACCCCAGCCCTCCGTATTTATGCCCTGACCCCTGGCCAGCTTTCCATCTCTGCCTCTGAGACTCAAGCCTCCCTCCCTCCCTGATATGGAGAGTAACCTCTCTGGCCTGGTGCCTGCTGCGGGGCTGGTGCCTGCGCTGCCACCCACCGTGACCCTGGGGCTGACTGCAGCCTATACCACCCTGTATGCCCTGCTTTTCTTTTCTGTCTATGCCCAGCTCTGGCTGGTGCTTCTATATGGGCACAAGCGTCTCAGCTATCAGACGGTGTTTCTGGCACTCTGTCTGCTCTGGGCCGCCTTGCGTACCACTCTCTTCTCCTTCTACTTCCGAGATACTCCCCGAGCCAATCGCCTGGGGCCTTTGCCCTTTTGGCTTCTCTACTGCTGCCCTGTCTGCCTGCAGTTCTTCACACTGACGCTTATGAACCTCTACTTTGCCCAGGTAACCATGGAAACGGGTTGGGATGGGAGGTCAACAAATCCAAGGGCCCAAAGGAGTGATGGGCATCTCTGCTCCCAGGTGGTGTTCAAGGCCAAGGCGAAGCGTCGGCCAGAGATGAGCCGAGGCTTGTAAGTACTGGGGGGATACTGTTGGACTGAGCCCCATGTTCAAGGACAGGGGGCAGCCCGCCTTTTGGGGCCAAGACAAGGACAGCACAAGCAATGTTTGTGCAAGAGTTGGGCAAAGCTAGGGCACTTGACACGGATGGTCCTGCAGGCCATCCTCTGTACATGGGGATGAGGGTCAGTGGCAATAGAATCAGCTGCCATGCTTGGAGGGGAGAGGAGAGCAATGTAGGGGAATAGCTGGCTCTGGCCCACAGGAGGTCCAGATCCCACCTACACTGCGGGGTGACCTTGGGCTGCAATGGCACAGTACCTAAATTGCACAGTTTCTAAAGGGCTTTCACAAACAAGTTTCTGGAGAGGTTGGTCTTCTCATTTGAGAGAAGAGGAAACTGAGGCTCAACAAGATAAAACAGGTTCAAGGTCACAGAGCTGCTAGGAGCCAGAACCAGGGCTCGAACCCAGATTTCTGACTTCCAGTCTGATGTTCTTTCCAATGGGCCACCTTCTCTCTTTGGGCCTCAGTTTCCCCATCTGTAAGACTGGATGATCTCAGTTCTGACTGACATTGCTGGGGAGGGGCTCTGAGAAGGTAGGGTGATCTGCGCGTGGCTGACAGTCTGCGGGTACCTATGCCGTGGGCTGCAGGCTGGCTGTCCGAGGGGCCTTCGTGGGGGCCTCCTTGCTCTTTCTGCTCGTGAATGTGCTGTGTGCTGTGCTGTCCCGCCGGCGGCGGGCACAGCCCTGGGCCCTGCTGCTGGTGCGAGTTCTGGTGAGCGACTCCCTCTTCGTCATCTGCGCCCTCTCCCTTGCCGCCTGCCTCTGCCTCGTCGCCCGACGGGCCCCTTCCACCAGCATCTACCTGGAGGCTAAGGTAGGGGCCACAAGCCCTGATGCTTGGGGGGGCCTTGGAGAACTCTGGGCATAGAAGAAGTTGAGAGCCTTCTCTCCCTGAGGGTCCTCTGTTGTCATCTGTGCCAGGGGACCAGTGTGTGCCAGGCAGCTGCCATGGGAGGTGCCATGGTACTGCTGTATGCTAGCCGGGCCTGCTACAACCTGGCAGCCCTGGCCTTGGCACCCCGGAGTCGGCTGGATGCCTTTGATTACGATTGGTACAACGTCTCTGATCAGGTGGGTACTTGGCAGGTCTGCCACTTTCTTAGTAGCTGTGTTGCCTGTCCTGGCCTGGTGCCCCTCTGGCCTGCCCAGAGGCTGGCACATACTCTTGCCTTCCACAGGCGGACCTGGTGAATGACCTGGGGAACAAAGGCTATCTGGTATTTGGCCTCATCCTCTTTGTCTGGGAGCTTCTGCCCACCACTCTGCTGGTGGGCTTCTTCCGGGTGCACCGGCCCCCACAGGACCTGGTAGGGCCCCCACCGGCGCTGTGGGACCAGCAGAGCAGCTGGACTGTGAGAGTCCTGGGCAGTTGAGGGGAGCAGGCAGGAGAAAGCATTGATGGTGGTGATTTTCCCCCCACAGAGCACCAGCCGCATCCTCAACGGGCAGGTCTTTGGCTCCCGCTCCTACTTCTTTGATCGGGCAGGCCACTGTGAGGATGAGGCCTGCTCTTGGGAACACAGCCGGAGTGAGAGCACCAGGTAGTCCAGCCTCCCCTCTTCCCTCCCCCCTGCCTCCCACCCCACTTCCATGAAACTCTTGTCTCCAATAAACCACTAGAAAACTGGAAATGACACAGTGGTTCAAGTGGTAAATCACTCGCCTTGAGCTGAAGAGCTGAGGGATAGCACCCAGGCTGAGCTCAAGCCCCACAACCAACCAGAAAAAATAAATAAATAAAAACAAATAAATAAAAGGGCTGGGAAGGTGGCTCAGTGGTAGAGTGCTTGCTTTGCATGCATGAGGCCTGGGTTTGATTTCTCAGCACCACATAAGCAGAAAAAGTCAGACATGGTGCTGTGGCTAAAGTAGTAGAGCACTTGCCTACAGCGCCCAGGCCTACAGTTCAGGCCCCACAATGGACCCCCCCAAAAAAGCCAGGATCCAGTGGCTCACACCTGTAATCCTAGCTACTTAGGAGGGTGAGATCTGAGAATTGTGGTTCAAAGCCAGCCCAGGGTGCCCGTGAGACTCTTATCCAATAAACCATCAGAAAACTGGAAGTGGCGCTGTGGCTCAAGTGGTAGAGCACTAGCCTTGAGCTGAAGAGCACAGGGACAGTGCCCGGGCCTACAGTTCAAGCCCCACAACTGACCAAAAAAAAAAAAAAAAAGCCAGATCTTCCTTTCCACCCTCCCTCCTATTTCCCCCATTTTTCTAGATGGGGTTCCCTTCTGGGTTTCTACTACTGCCCCACCCCCCCCCCAGGCAGGGATGTAGCTTGCTCTGGGTCTGAGAGTAATGCTGGGTGACAGTGTCTGCGCGAAGGCTCTCCTCCTACCCCATTCTTACCAGTGCGGCCTGGTCGCTGCCTGGGTCTGACTCTGCTTCTCTACCTGCAGCATGTCTGGAAGCCTGGGCTCTGGCAGCTGGTATGGTGCCATCGGGCGTGAGCCAGGCTGGTGCGGAGGCAGCCAGACCAGGACAACGCCACTGCTCTTCTCCCAGGTGCCAGGACCAGGAGGTCACCACCACAGCCTCTACTCCACCCCACAGACGTGACCCCCTCCCACTTGCCCCAGACTTGTGGCTCCCTTACCCCAGGCCCCGTGCGAAGTTCGTCTGCCGCTTCTTGCCCAGGATCCCGGGGGCCGTAGCTGCCCCCCCCTCTGGCCAGCTCCTCGCTGCTCCTCTTGTAGTGAGCTTGTGCTCTCCCCCTAGGTTGGGGGGCACAGCCCTGGCTGCCAGATGCCCACAGCGCCCTGGCATGACCTGCCACCTCCGCTTCCACACTGGAGCCAGCTACCTCTCCTGTGCCTGCCACTCAATAAACCGTGTCCACCCCTCATCTGTTCCCCGCCTGTCGCTCTCTGCTTTCCTTCCTCTCATCTTGGGTGGTCTTGGCCCCCGGCTGATGAAGGCCCTTGACACTTGGGTGGTTAGACTGGCCAGGGGAGGGGAGAGACCTGCAATTTTTGAGAACAAGGAGATTATGTGGGCCTCTGTTCTTCAAGTTCTCCTGGCCATCTGTTACTCCAACAATTTCAGTGGTTTCTGTGAGATATTTTTATTTTATTCATTCATTCATTTTTGCCGGTCTTTGGGGCTTGAACTCAGGGCCTGGGCACTGTCCTTGAGCTTCTTTTGGTCAAGGTTAGCACTTTACCACTTGAGCCACAGTGCCGCTTCTGTCTTTTTCTTTTCTTTCTTTTTTTTTTTGGGGGGGTCCGGTCTTGGGGCCTGAACTCTGGGCCCGGGCGCTGCCCCTCAGCTCTTCAGCTCAAGGCTAGTGTGCTACCACTTGAGCCACAGCACCACTTCCGGCTTTTTTCTTTTTGTTAATGTGGTGCTGAGGAATAGAACCCAGGGCCTCAGGCATGCAAGGCAAGCACTCTACCACTGAGCCAACTTCCTAGCCCACTTCTGTCTTTTTCTGTGTGGTACTAAGGAATAAAACTCAGTGCTTCATGCATGCTACCACTAAGCCACATTCATTCCCAGCCATATTTTAATTTTTTTAAGGACAGGATCTTCTTGCCCAGCACCAATGACTCACACATTATAATCCTAGCTACACAGAAAGCAGCCAGGCAGAAGTTTGTGAGTCTCTTTCTTCCCCTCCCCTTCCCTTCCCTTCCCTTCCCTTCCCTTCCCTTCCCTTCCCTCCTTTCCTTTCCTTCTTTCTTTCCTTCCTTTCTTTCTTTCGTTCCTCCCTCTCTCCCTCTTTCTCTTTCTCGCTTTCTTTCCTTCCTTTCCTTTCCCTTTTCCTGTTCCTTTTCCTTTCCCGTTTCCTTTTCCTTTCTTTCTTTCCTGTGTGTGTGCCAGTCCTGGGGCTTGAACTCAGGGCCTGGGTGCTGTCCCTGAGATTTTTCTGCTCAAGCCTAGTCCTCTACCTCTAGAAGCACAGCTCCACTTCCAGCTTTTTGGGTGGTTAATTGGAGATAAGATTCTCACAAGCTTTTCTGCTGCACTGGCTTCGAACTCTGATCCCCATCCTCACATACCAGCCTCCTGAGTAGCTAGAATTATAGACGGGAGTCACTGGTGCCCAGCTTGTGAGCCTCTTACCTCCAGTAAACTCCCAAAAAGCCAGAAATGGAACTATGGTTCAAGTAGTAGAGTGCTAGCCTTGAGAAAAAGAAGTTCAGGGCCAGACACTGGTGTCTTATGCCTGTAATCCTAGCTACTCAGGAGGCTGAGATGTGAGGATCAGGGTTCAAATCCAGCTGTTCAGGAAAGCCCATGAGACCAGTTAACTACCAGAAAACCAGAAGCGGAGCTGTGGCTCAAAAGTGGTAGGGTACTAGCTTTAAGCAGTAATGCTCAGGGACAGCGCCCAGACCCTGAGTTCAAGCCCCATGACCCAGAAACAACGACAAAACAACTGAGGAACAGTGCCCAGGCACTGAGTTCTAGCACCCTACCCCCGCCAAAAAAACCCCACAAAACAACTTGATCTTGCTGGGTGCTAGTGGCTCATATCTGTAATCCTGGCAAATCAGGAGGCTGAAATCTGAGAATCAAAGTTTCAAGCCAGCCAGGGCATTAAAACCTATGAAACTCTTATCTCCAATTAACCAGCAAAAAGCCTGAAGTAGACCTATGGCTCATATGGTAGAGTACCAGCCTTGAGTTAAAAAGCTAAGGAATAGCACTCAGGCCCTGAGTTCAAGCTGTGGCACACACACAAAAACCTTTCTCTTCGCTCACCTTTAACTAAAGAGCTCAAGGACAGTGCCCAGGCCAGAGTGCAAGCCCCACGACTGACCAAAAAAGAAAATCTTTCTCTTTGTTTTTTTTTTTGCTAGTGCTGGGGCTTGCACTAAGGGCCTGGGCACTGTCCCCGAGCTTCTCTGTCCTCCAGGCTACACTCCACCATTTGAAACACAACGCGCTTCCACCTTTTTCTGAGTAGTTGGTTGGAGATCAGAGTCTCATGGTATCTAGGATTACAGGTGTGAGCCATGGGTTCCTGGCTTTGCTTCCTTTTTTATTTAAAAATTTTAGGGCTGGGGGACTGGGAAGGTGGCTCAGTGGTAGAGCGCTTGCCTTGCATGCATGAGGCCCTGGGTTCAATTCCTCAGCACCACATAAGCAAAAAGAAAAAAAGCCCCAAGTGGCGCTGTGGCTCAAGTGGTAGAGCACTGGTCTTGAGCTGAAGAGCTGAGGGACAGCGCCCAGGCCCAGAGTTCAAGCCCCACGACCAACAAAAAAAAAATCAAGTCCCCTAGGAGAATAGTCCCAGTGTCACAGGACCACCATGGTAAAGAGACTAGGAAGGTACCTTGGCCTGTCCTCTGTGTATCCTAAGGCCTATCAGCTTCCTGAGGTGGGGCCCAGATTACAGACTGGGACTGGAGGCCTGGGAGGCTAGGAGGTGCCTGAGGCTCACAGTGCTATGCCCTGTCTGCCACCTGCTGGCTCAGGAAATGTTCAGCTGTTCCATACTCACTGAGAACCACAGGACCATTACACCAGATGTGACTGGAGCCCTGGTCAGGAGGCCTGCAACTTGCTGGTGATTGCAGAGCCTTGGTCTGGGTACTTTGTCTCACCAAGAATTAAAGCAAACGTGAGAGGACCAGGGACGCGGCTCTTGGTAGAGTGCTTGCCTTGAATTAAATCTCCAACAATGCAAAAACAAAACAGCTGGGCAGTGGCAGCTCACACCTATAATCCTATCAACTCAAGTGGCCGTCCTCAGATCTCAGCTTCCTGAGTAGACAGAATTATAGGTGAGCCTCAGGTCCTGGGCACTGTCTCTGAGCTGCTTTTTTGCTCAAAGCTAGCATTCTACCACTTGAGCCACAGTGCCACTTGTGGCTTTTTCTGTGTATGTGGTACTAAGGAATCACTCCCAAGGGTTCATGTATACTAGGCAAACACTCTACCACTAAGCTATATTTCCAGTGCCCCCTATTTTCTGAAGGTCATCATCTGAAGGAAACTGAGGCACAGAGAGGATAAGTAACATAGGCAAGGTCACACAGCAGGTAAGGGGCAGAGATGGAATCCAAGTCTAACCAGTGTGGATTTAAGGACTGTTTACCTTTTAAGCCCTAATATGCCTTCAGTAGCTCCATGGACCACCTCAGGGCCCGGTTTAGAAAAGTTCTTCCCCTTTCCCAAGCTTCAGCTTATCCAAGAGTCTGCTCTGTGACTTGGACGACTGTCACCAAAGGCTGTAAGTAATTCCAAATCATCCCACCATACAAATAGCATCGAGGGGGCTGAGATGTAGCTCAGTGGCAAAGCGCTTGCCTAGCAAGTGCAACGTCCTGGGTTCGATCCCCAGTACCAAAAAAGAAAAGACAAAAAAATACAGTTAGGGCTGGGAAGGTGGCTCAGTGGTAGAGCGCTTGTCTTGCATGCCTGAGGCCCTGGGTTCGATGCCTCAGCGCCACATAAACAAAAAGAAAAAAGCCGGAAGTGGCTCTGTGGCTCAAGTGGTAGAGCGCTAGCCTTGAGCTGAAGAGCTGAGGGACAGCGCCCAGGCCCAGATTTCAGGCCCCATGACCGACCCAAAAAAACAAAACAACAACAAAAAGATACAGTTTAAAAAAATTGGCAGCCTGGCGCCGGTGGCTCACGCCAGTAATCCTAGCTACTCAGGAGGCTGAGATCTGAGAATCGCGGTTCAAAGCCAGCCTGGGCAGAAGAAACCGTGAGACTCCTATCTCCAATAAACCACCAGAAAACCGGAAGTGGCGCTGTAGCTCAAGTGGTAGAACGCTTAACCTTGAGCTGAAGAGCTGAGGGACAGCGCCCAGGCCCAGAGTTCAAGCCCCATGACCGACCCAAAAAAAAAAAAAAAAATGGCATCGAGGTTGGCTGGTGGCTCACACTTGTAATCAGAAGGCTGAGATCTGAAGGTTACAGTTCAAAATCAGCCTGGACAGAAATGCCCATGAGACTCTTATTCCCAGTTAGCAAAAAGCTAGAGTTGGAGGTATGCCTCAAGTAGCCGAGTGCCAGCCTTGAGCAGAAAAAGCCAAGCAACAGCTTGAAGCCCTGAATTCAAGCCTCAGTAGTGGCACAAAGGAAAATAAATAAGTAAATAAGAAAGAAAGAAAATAAAAACCAAAATGACTCCTGGGTGACTACTGCATTTTTTTCTTTCTTTTCCTTTTTTTTTTTGGTCAGTCAGTGGACTTGAACTCTGAGCCTGAACTCTGAACACTGTTCTTGAGGCTAGTGCTCTACCACGTGAGCCACAGTGTCCCTTCCACTTTTTTTTTTTTGGGTCCG